CCTTAAGGACTTCATGCAAAGGGGTTATCCCCGACAGGAGTCACAGGTTTTGGATATTAGAATTATTTCTGAATCCACCAACCCTTCTGAAACTCAATATTAGGCTGTCCTCTAAATGGATTCTAGTGGCTTTGACCTCCTTCAAATGCTACAAATACAGCGAATGGGGGTCCAGCTTCAAGCAATGTAACTGTATACACCATACCTGGGCAAATACCCCCCTGGAGGAAAAATGCAAAGCACAACCTGAATGGTGCCGTGCCGAGCAGCTGAGCTCCTGAGTTCACAATGTATCATGGCAATTGCTCCACACAGGACATGGAAGCTAGTGGAGATCTCAGTAGGAGCGAAGTGGTGGTGGTGTAGTAGCAGAGTATTAGTGGTGTTGTCAGGACCGGGATCTGAACCCATGTCCTCTGCTGTGTCCAGCAGTAGTTCTTCCTACTGAGCTACCTGAGATGGTGGACTTATATCTTGCCTTGTGCCTTGTTTCTGATGAACCTTGAACTCAGACAGCTCCCTGCCTGCTTCCTTAGACGACCTTGCCTTGTTTCTCTTGAACTCTGAACTCTTTGGTCCTCCCATGAACTTCCTGATTTGAACCATGCCTTTGCACTTCCTGTTTGCCAGATTATTGTACTCTCTCCAGCCGATATCCTGCTCCTTTGTTTACCCTCAACTGTCCCTATCTCCACTTCCACTCGTTACTGACCTTTGGCTGGATCCCAACCTGCAACCACTTGTTACTGACTACCCTTCTGCTTGATCCCAACCTGCAACCACTTGTTCCTCAACTACGCTTCTGCTTGATCCCAACCTGCAACCACTTGTTCCTCAACTACGCTTCTGCTTGATCCCAACCTGCAACCACTTGTTCCTCAACTACCCTTCTGCTTGATCCCAACCTGCAACCACTTGTTCCTCAACTACGCTTCTGCTTGATCCCAACCTGCAACCACTTGTTCCTCAACTACGCTTCTGCTTGATCCCAACCTGCAACCACTTGTTCCTCAACTACGCTTCTGCTTGATCCCAACCTGCAACCACTTGTTCCTCAACTACGCTTCTGCTTGATCCCAACCTGCAACCACTTGTTCCTCAACTACGCTTCTGCTTGATCCCAACCTGCAACCACTTGTTCCTCAACTACGCTTCTGCTTGATCCCAGCCTGCAACCACTTGTTCCTCAACTACGCTTCTGCTTGATCCCAACCTGCAACCACTTGTTCCGCAACTACGCTTCTGCTTGATCCCAACCTGCAACCACTTGTTCCTCAACTACCCTTCTGCTTGATCCCAGCCTGCAACCACTTGTTCCTCAACTACGCTTCTGCTTGATCCCAACCTGCAACCACTTGTTCCTCAACTACGCTTCTGCTTGATCCCAACCTGCAACCACTTGTTCCTCAACTACCCTTCTGCTTGATCCCAACCTGCAACCACTTGTTCCTCAACTACGCTTCTGCTTGATCCCAACCTGCAACCACTTGTTCCTCAACTACGCTTCTGCTTGATCCCAACCTGCAACCACTTGTTCCTCAACTACGCTTCTGCTTGATCCCAACCTGCTATATCTGCTACTGGACCCCGGCTTGCCCACCTCCTGGTGGGTCAATCCTGAGGATCACAACCTGGTACTAACACGCAGCAAAACCCATCTCCCTGCTGGTTCTCTCCCCCCCTCCTCTATTCTGCTGGTTCTCTCCCCACTCCTCCATTCATCTTATAGTAGAAAGCTTCAGATTTCTGAGTGCTGTTGAAGTCCGTCCTCATAACACCAACAATTAAAAGTTATATTTTCATACAGAACTCCTTCCCTGACATCTCATTAAATCTGTATTGTGGCTCTCCGATTGTATGTTCTGTCTGGTCATTACAAGGAGCTGGTCCGAGGGGTCAGGCAGCCGGAGAGATAATACATCCGATCAGCCAGAGAACCAGAGAAGGGAAGAGAAGAGAAGAGAAGAGACGAGAAGAGAAGAGAAGGGAAGAGAAGAGAAGAGACGAGAAGAGACGCCACATCTATATTATTATTATTAGGGTTCACAAACCTAAAGCTGAAGTCTCGTCCGCTTATATTCTGCCTTCCGTGGCTCCTAATAAACCGCTTTATGACCGCCCAACACGTGTGTGGAGGCAAAAGGGTGAACTTTAACGCCCGTGTGCTGCACATATATGTGTCGCTGGACGGCCAATGTTTAAGTGCGGAGAGAGCGCCGACTGTGTGCCCCCAGTACGAGGATAGCGTTCGGTCCGGACTGCAGATCAGTAGCTGGCGGGACCAACTTCTGATCATGTGACAAGATTGCTGATCCTAACTGCCCCCCCCGACCTCCCCGGGCATTCCGAGCTATTGAGAGCATCAGAGCTCCCCTTACATCGGAGTCCCCACCAGAGTCCCTCCTTACATTAGGGTCCGCATCAGAGTCCCCCTTACATCAGTGTCTCCATCAGAATCCCCCCATTACATCAGGGTCCCCATCAGTGTCTCCCCCCCTTACCACTGTAGGCGTGGCTGTAGCAGAAAGGTGGGAGCCAAGAGGGAGGGCATGTCTGGTTGGAGGACATTTCTTTGGGGGGGGGGGGTTGGTTTAAGCAGTGACCACAGGTAGCATTTGCTAACCTTAACCCCTCACATGTGCACATTAGGGATATGCATGGAAGGCCGGATGTGGCCCCCAGGCCGTATTCTGGAGAGTCCAGGGGAAAGTGATGTCCGTGTGCGGAGAGGTGTATTATATGAAGTCCAGGATGAGCGCATTAAAGTGAATTACCAACCCGGAATACGACTCCTTGGAAATTGGTTAAAATACGATCGCGTTTGCAGAACCGCGTCCAGCATGCGTGTTCATCGGATGGCCTACGGAACAGCGCTGTTCACACCGGAGCAATCCATCACACCGGAACATTCTCTATGACCTGGTCATGAAAGTCCCCATCTAACGTACGGCTCATAAACAAAACGTTTCAACGCAGTTGCAATTTTTTGGAAAAAATCCACTTGCACAGAACGTAAAGCATGGCGCAGGCGCAAAACAGCGCATGGCCAATGTGGAAGAGATGCTTCCAGCCTGGAATAGACGAGCTTGCCCATGTGGGGCCACCAAAAGGAAGATAAAGGTGGATCCTCTGTACCACCAATAGCAAACGTAGACTTTTGCCAAGGAGCAGATAGCGGGGAAGGTATTTGTTAGAGGTCCCTCCATCACATCAGAGGCCCTCCCATCACATCAGAGGCCCTCCCATCACATCAGAGGTCCCCCTACCACATCAGAAGCCCCCCCCCCGATAACATCAGAGGTCCCCTCCATCACATCAAAGCCCCCCCCCCATCACATCAGAGTTCTTGATCACATCAGAGGTCCCCCCATCATATCAGAGATTCCCCATCACACCAGAGATCCCCCATTACATCAGAGATCCCCCATCACACCAGAGGTCCCCCCCAATCTCATTGAAGGTCCGCCCCCATCACATCAGATGTCCCCGATAACATCAAAAGTCACCCCGTCACATCAGAGGTCCCCCCATCACATTCTCCATTTATGGACAATAACTCTCACCGTGGTTCGCTGGAGTCCCAAAGCCTTAGAAATGGCTCTGTAACCCTTTCCAGACTGATACACTTCAGTTTGTTTCTCATTTGTTCTTGAATTTATTTTGCTTTTTGGGATTTCTTTTAGCGTGCTTCACCTTGTCAGACAGCTTCTGGTTAAGTGAGTGATTTCTTGATTCAACAGGTCTGGCAGTAATCAGGCCTGTGTGTGGCAAGTGGAATTTAACCCAGCTTTCCAAAAAAATGTTGTTAGTCAGAGTTAATTCATGATTAAGGGGAAGGGGGGGGGGGGGGGGGGGGCTAGGAGGGGGGGGGGGGGGCAATTACTTAGGCTCAAGCAAGTTTGGGCTGTTTTTTTCCCTTAATAAATGAAATCATCATGTAAAAATTGTATTTTGTATTTACTCTGGTTATCTTTGTGTAATATTAAAATTTGTTTTAATGATCTGAATCATTTAAGCGTGAAAAATATGGAAAAAAATAATAAAAAACCACGGAAAGGGGGCAAATACTTATTCACAGCACTAAGTCCACCAGACACGCAGATGGAAAATATCAGACGGTATCTGCAGCAGGAAAACTCGTCCTGATTTCCCTCGTTGTTTCTGCTCTTTTATTGCTCACATTAGCACCTGGAAGCGTTGGCACAGAAGCCGGTGTGTGGGAGTCAGCACCAGTCCCCAGATTGTACTGTATGTAGCAGGTGATGACGATTCTTTGCACTGCCACACAGCCCCGGGCTCAGAACATCATCCAGCTGTAAGACGGTCCTCATCTACCTCTACCGGTCCTCCAAAAATTGGTGGCTATCAGGTCTAAGGAAGAGCGTCTGCCCCCATGTGTCATTCACATGTCTCGTCAGCCTAAGCTGTTGTGTATGACGACCCGTGTTCAATACAGATGCACACGAGACCATCAGGCACCCCCCACCAAGACAGGTTTGGTCCCCGTGGGCTCTGAATATTCCCGTATGAGCACGTTCTGCCCCCATACACCTCCCTGAGATGACAGTTATAGTCAGAAACAAATTGAGATGACGCTCCGCTCCGCTCCGCTCCGCTCCGCCGATCAATAACACAATACGGCCACCTGCACTCAGATCATTACAGCATTACAGCGTGCAAAGAGCAAGTCGATTCACTCAGAATTTATGCCATAAATGTTGATGTAAATTTGGATGGTAAGCCAATACTATTCATAGTCAGAGGAAGCCTTGATTGGTACAGATTGATCACTGGTGCACACAGGGACCATTAGGGTGGGGCTAACAAGAGTATTAGCACAGCTGTTGTCCACTATAGCCAGGTTGTCTCAATCCTCCGCTGTCAATTTAATTCCTCCCTCTGGACTTCCCTGCAGTCTTGCAGTTGTACCGATTCCTCCCCTTCAGTCTTGCACAGGTGTAGCGGCTCCTCCCCTCCATTCTTGCACAGGTATACCAGCTCCTCCCCTCCAGTCTTGCACAGGTGTACCGGCTCCTCCCCTCCAGTCTTGCACAGGTGTACCAGCTCCTCCCCCTCCAGTCTTGCACAGGTGTACCAGCTCCTCCCCCTCCAGTATTTCACAGTTGTACCAGCTCCTCCAGTTCAGTCTTGCACAGGTGTACCAGCTCCTCCCCCTCCAGTCTTTCACAGTTGTACCAGCTCCTCCCCTTCAGCCTTGCACAGGTGTAGCGGCTCCTCGCCTTCAGCCTTGCACAGGTGTACCAGCTCCTCCCATATAGTCCTGCACAGGTGTAACAACTCCTCCCCTTCAGTCTTGCACAGGTGTACTGGCTCCTCCCCTTCAGTCATACACAGGTGTACCGGCTCCTCCCCTCCAGTCTTGCACAGGTGTACCGGCTCCTCCCCTCCAGTCTTGCACAGGTGTACCGGCTCCTCCCCTTCAGTCTTGCACAGGTGTACCGGCTCCTCCCCTTCAGTCTTGCACAGGTGTACCGGCTCCTCCCCTTCAGTCTTGCACAGGTGTACCGGCTCCTCCCCTCCAGTCTTGCACAGGTGTACCGGCTCCTCCCCTCCAGTCTTCCACAGGTGTACCGGCTCCTTCCCTCCAGTCTTGCACAGGTGTACCGGCTCCTCCCCTTCAGTCTTGCACAGGTGTACCGGCTCCTCCCCTGCAGTCTTGCACAGGTGTACCGGCTCCTCCCCTGCAGTCTTACACAGGTGTACCGGCTCCTCCCCTTCAGTCTTACACAGGTGTCGGCTCCTCCCCTTCAGTCTTGCACAGGTGTACCAGTTCCTCCCCATCAGTCTTGCACAGGTGTACCGGCTCCTCCCCTTCAGTCTTGCACAGGTATACCAGTTCCTCCCCATCAGTCTTGCACAGGTGTACCAGTTCCTCCCCATCAGTCTTGCACAGGTGTACCGGTTCCTCCCCATCAGTCTTGCACAGGTGTATCGGCTCCTCTCCTGCACTGAAATGGCTTCCTCTGATGTCACTGCACACTGTGAGCTTTTCACAACATGCATTAGAAGCTACAGCCAGTCAGACAGAGCTCCGCCTCATTTCCTGGCTGAAGGACGTCCAGCATCATCTAGTTCTTTTTTTTTCCCCCAGCCTGATTGTCCCTGGCCCCGACCCTTTCTTTCAATGGATTTTCAGTTCTTTCCATCAAGGAGGGTCAGCGTCACATGTGGGCGTAATCACGCAAATACAGACTAGTAACGCCCACTCCTCCTCCAGAATGACACCCACCCATCAAGGCATTTTGATATTTGCATAACCCCTCCCACTGCTTGCATCAGACCTGAGGGCTCTTGAGTACTGTGATGTTTTCAGGAAGCTATGTACAGCATCCTGCCGCCACCTCCCACCAGCCATGATCTGCCTGCATTGCATAGGGAACTACAGAGACTGGGGCACTGGGGTAAAGCGCACATTATTGTAACACATTGTGTCAGTCAGTGCATCGCGCTGTGATGTATTCTGAACGGCATTAGGGAGATGCAACCCCAAGGCACGTGTTGTAGAGCACCACACAACGCACGACAGCATATTTTGGTGTGCTCTGTTGCAAAAATCGTCAATATTTTTGGAAGTTTGGCACATTGGCAGGCTATTCATTCGACTGGGCTGCCTTAGCACAATACACCTCAGTGTGGGGAAAAAATAAAAAATGTGCATGCCTTAACCACAACCCGTCCGCCCGTTGTATATAAACAGCCGGATGGTGGCAGTGCAGGGTGGGTGGGTGTTTATAAACAGCCTCCCCGCCCCCTGCTTGTGCGCGCTCCCTGGGAGCTTGCAGCACACCACAATCCGGTGCCCGCTGTGTCCTCCGGACACAGTGGAACACCGATCGTCGTACGGGACCTCTCTGTGAGGTCCCGATCATGTGATCACTGATTGGCCAATAAGTGATCACATGAATAGTTGTAAGCAAGATGTCACTTCTGACATCATTGCTTACTACTAGTGAAATCTGTGAATGATCACAGAGATCACATGGTACAGGGCCATTCACAACAGCCTTGTACCATGTGACAAGCTGTGACCAATCACAGCTCACACAGTATTTCTCAATGGCTGCAAGAATGCAGCCAGAGAGAAGGAGAAATGATTGCTTTTATAGCCTTTATGGGTGTAAAAGCAATCAGTGTAAAAAAAAAATCTGCATCACCCCCCACAAGTAGTACAGTGTCACCATGGTGACACTGTACTACTAGGGTGACAGTATGTAAAAAAACAAAACAATAATATAAAAAAATAAAATAAAAACGTAAAAAAAAGTTATAAAATAATTTGGGTTACTTTACTAAAAGGATCACGGAATAAATTTTGGCCGAGATTTATGATGAAAGATTATTTATTTGCAAAATTTTATAAGAAAAACACTTTTTTTTCAAAATTTTTGGACTTTTTCATTTACATAGCAAAAAAAAATAAAAAATCCCAGCGGTGAATAAATACCACCAAAATAAAGCTTTATCTGTCCCAAAAAAAGCTTAAATATTCATATGGGTGCAGTGTTGCATGACCGCGCAATTGTCATTCAAACTGTGACAGCGCTGAAAGCTGAAAACTGGCCTTGACAGGAAGGGGGTGAAAGTGTCCGGACTGGAAGGGGGTGAAAGTGTCCGGACTGGAAGGGGGGGAAAGTGTCCGGACTGGAAGGGGGGGAAAGTGTCCAGACTGGAAGGGGGGGAAAGTGTCCAGACTGGAAGGGGGGGAAAGTGTCCAGACTGGAAGGGGGGGAAAGTGTCCAGACTGGAAGAGGGAGAAAGTGTCCGGACTGGAAGGGGGGGAAAGTGTCCAGACTGGAAGGGGGGAAAGTGTCTGGACTGGAAGGGGGGGAAAGTGTCCAGACTGGAAGGGGGGAAAGTGTCTGGACTGGAAGGGGGGGAAAGTGTCCGGACTGGAAGGGGGGGAAAGTGTCCGGACTGGAAGGGGGGGGGGGGGGGGGGGGGAGTGTCCAGACTGGAAGGGGGTGAAAGTGTCCAGACTGGAAGGGGGTGAAAGTGTCCGGACTGGAAGGGGGGGAAAGTGTCCGGACTGGAAGGGGGGGGAAAGTGTCCGGACTGGAAGGGGGGAAAAGTGTCCGGACTGGAAGGGGGGGGGGAAGTGTCCGGACTGGAAGGGGGGGGGGGGGAAGTGTCCAGACTGGAAGGGGGGGAAAGTGTCCAGACTGGAAGGGGGGGAAAGTGTCTGGACTGGAAGGGGGGGAAAGTGTCCGGACTGGAAGGGGGGAAAGAGTCCGGACTGGAAGGGGGGGGGGGGGGGGGGAGTGTCCAGACTGGAAGGGGGTGAAAGTGTCCAGACTGGAAGGGGGTGAAAGTGTCCGGACTGGAAGGGGGGGAAAGTGTCCAGACTGGAAGGGGGGGGGGAAAGTGTCCAGACTGGAAGGGGGGGAAAGTGTCCAGACTGGAAGGGGGGGGGGGGGGGAGGGGAGTGTCCAGACTGGAAGGGGGTGAAAGTGTCCAGACTGGAAGGGGGGGAAAGTGTCCGGACTGGAAGGGGGGGAAAGTGTCCGGACTGGAAGGGGGTGAAAGTGTCCGGACTGGAAGGGGGTGAAAGTGTCCGGACTGGAAGGGGGTGAAAGTGTCCGGACTGGAAGGGGGGGAAAGTGTCCGGACTGGAAGAGGGAGAAAGTGTCCGGACTGGAAGGGGGGTGAAAGTGTCCGGACTGGAAGGGGGGGAAGTGTCCAGACTGGAAGAGGGAGAAAGTGTCCGGACTGGAAGGGGGGGGAAAGTGTCCGGACTGGAAGGGGGGGGAAAGTGTCCGGACTGGAAGGGGGGGGGGGGAAGTGTCCGGACTGGAAGGGGGGGGGAAAGTGTCCGGACTGGAAGAGGGAGAAAGTGTCCGGACTGGAAGAGGGAGAAAGTGTCCGGACTGGAAGGGGGGGAAAGTGTCTGGACTGGAAGGGGGGGAAAGTGTCTGGACTGGAAGGGGGGGAAAGTGTCTGGACTGGAAGGGGGGGGGGGGGGAAAGTGTCCAGACTGGAAGAGGGAGAAAGTGTCCGGACTGGAAGGGGGGGAAAGTGTCTGGACTGGAAGGGGGGGAAAGTGTCCGGACTGGAAGGGGGAAAAAGTGTCCGGACTGGAAGGGGGGGGGGAAGTGTCCAGACTGGAAGGGGGTGAAAAGTGTCCGGACTGGAAGGGGGGGGGGGGGGGGGGGGGGGGGGGGGGGGGAAGGGTCCGGACTGGAAGGGGGGGGGGGGGGGGGGGGGGGGAGTGTTCGGACTGGAAGGGGGTAAAAGTGTCTGGACTGGAAGGGGGTAAAGTGTCCAGACTAGAAGGGGGTGAAAGTGTCCGGACTGGAAGGAGGGGGGAAAGTGTCCGGACTGGAAGGGGGTAAAAGTTTCCGGACTGGAAGGGGGTAAAAGTTTCCGGACTGGAAGGGGGTAAAAGTTTCCGGACTGGAAGGGGGTAAACGTGTCCTGACTGGAAGGGGGTAAAAGTTTCCGGACTGGAAGGGGGGTAAACGTGTCCTGACTGGAAGGGGGGGAAAGTGTCCGGACTGGAAGGGGGGGAAAGTGTCCGGACATGAAGTGGTTAATGCAACATACTAGCATGCCGAGGTGTGAATGGGCTCTCGCCATCATACCAGAATAATCTGAGGGGGGGTGGACGAGGATCTGGGGGGTCAGGGAGGAGTTCCATGCACATGAATGCGTTTCCGGATGTCGTCAGCAACAGGGGCCGTGCGCGCGATATTCGCTTTGCACAAAGTAACGCAGCAGCTGCGCCCCCCACCCACCTCCGCCGTTTTGTTTATAGGTCTCGTCCCACTACACACATTACAGCAATCAAGCCGGGAATACATTTACATAATATGTAATTACACAAAGAGAACGCATTAACATCTGCATCTGTCTGCGACTCCAATCAGACGCTGCCAGCGAACAAAGGCAGACAGAGAGAGACAACGGGGTGTGCAAAATACGCACGGACAACAACAGGGCGCTGCGGTGTGCAGATGCTTGGAGTGCAAACAGGAGTCTGCAATACAAACCAGGAGCCTCAAAAAGGTGGAACACCAAAAATTTAAAGGAATGTCCAAGCAATGCAAAACATGAATGAGTCACATTGTAATGTTAACAGCCCCCCTCCCCTTAGCCCCCCCACTGCCCTGACCATAAAAAAAAGTACCTTTTGTACAGAATTCCTTCTGAAAATGCTAGTGCGCTTCCTGGTATGTGAGGGTGCCTAGGAACTCATGTTCTGTAGCTGTATATCTGCAGTGTGAGATCAGCTAAGGCACTGCTGCCTCCGACTGCTCTTTTCACCAGATGTGGAGTGGGATTTGGTGATGTCACTGCTGTGCAGCTCCTTGCTGGAGAGGAAGTTGTACCTGGTGACCTGTAGCGCAAGGATCTCTCTGCTTCCACTTTATCCATTCTGGGGATCTGTGCTGATCACTGTTCTCTTTACTGGAGAAGCTGTACCTGGGGATCATCAGCACAAGGATCTCCCTGCTTCCACTTTATCCATTCTGGGGATCTGTGCTGATCACTGTTCTCCTTGCTGGAGGAGCTGTACCTGGGGACCAGCAGCACAAGGATCTCCCTGCTTCCACTTTATCCATTCTGGGGATCTGTGCTGATCACTGTTCTCTTTACTGGAGAAGCTGTACCTGGGGACCATCAGCACAAGGATCTCCCTGCTTCCACTTTATCCATTCTGGGGATCTGTGCTGATCACTGTTCTCCTTGCTGGAGAAGCTGTACCTGGGGACCAGCAGCACAAGGATCTCCCTGCTTCCACTTTATCCATTCTGGGGATCGGTGATGATCACTGTTCTCTTTACTGGAGAAGCTGTACCTGGGAATCTGCAGCGCAAGGATCTTCCTGCTTCTGTTTATCCATTCTGGGGATCTGTGCAGCTCAGCTGTCCTTGCTGGAGAGGAAGCTGTACCTGGGATATGCAGTGCAAGGATCTCCCTGCTTCCGCTTTATCCATTCTGGGGATCTGTTCTGATCACTGTTCTCTTTACTAGAGAAGCGGTACCTGGGAACTGCAGAGCAAGGATCTCCCTGCTTCTGCTTTATTCATTCTGGGGATCTGTGTAGCTCACAGTTGTCCTTGCTGGACAGG